TTTTTTTTTTTTTTTTTAATTTGGTTTTGAACTTGTTAGAAAATATTGCTAAACGCGGTCAACTTTTTATTTAGTTAAAGAACTTTTTTTAAAAAATACAATAGTTTATAGAGCAAATGCTAGATCGGAGGCGCGGTGGCTAAACGTTAAAGCGCTTGACTTCCGAATCGAGGTCCCGGGTTCGAATCCTGATGAAGACAAGGATTTTTAATTTCGGGATCTTTGGGCGCCTCTGAGTCTACCCAGCTCTAATGGGTACCTGGCATTAGTTAGGGAAGGTAAAGGCCGGTTGTTTGACACCCTTATTAACCGTGGGTCACAGAAACAGATGATCTTTACATAGATCGCAAGGTCTGAAAGGGAAACTTAACTACTAAATGCTGGATCAAAATATAGAGCTGGGGGAAGCTGTGAATGTTTTTAATTCTTTAAATCTACAAGTTTTTAAAAATTGTATTACATTTGGATAATAACAACTAAAAGTTAGATTTTCTGTATAAAACTAATTTATTTTATAAGATTTAATGTCCGACCACTATAGTTATATGATCATAAGGAATGCTGTTGCCAACTCTCAATTGTCAATACTCAAAGAATTTAACGTAAGCCTTAAACCTGATAATAATTCTGTTATATTTTTGGCCTAATACTTTGTACTGTAATTTAAATTTAAACTAGTTTTGTTACTACATATTTAACACTTTAAAAGTTGAATTAAAAAAAACAAGTTTTTATGGATGTAAAATTTAGCTTGACGACCATCGACAGTTCCCTATTCACTTTCAGCAACGACTATCTTCTAGTGTTGGCCTTTTGCCTGTGGTATTGCATTTCGTTATTAGAGTGTTACCTCCGTTTGATTTATCTGCATAAGACACAGCGTAGACGCGCCTAATAACTCATTTTATTAATGATCTGTCACAAAGAATATAGAAGAGGCGGAATAATTTATTGTATTTTGTTTTGAAATATCTAGCACAAAAATTAAAATGAAGGCAAAGAACTATGGTTAGATTAGTTTAAATTGATGAATGTTACAGATATACAATTTCTTCCTGTTTTCTGCATGGCCACTTAAAATCTGAAATCATCACACATAATCCTATCAAATATAATATTGCTGTAACTCTGCCTACAGCGAGCACAAAGACCTCAACAGCCTCAACGATGGTGATAGAACAAAACAGTAATTTAATAATAGAATAATAGTCGGATACAATTATGAACTTGAGGACTAAGTCACGACACTTGTTTACATCGGCCATCTTGAACTTCTCTTATTTCATGTCTCTCGCCTGTGTCTCATGGTGCGCAGTCTCGCACCTAATGACAGCGTGCCTTGTAGAGTCATAACAATATTGTAACTCCGCTCCAGCGCCACACCGATGGTGCGCATCAGAGCACTATTAAACACAAGTAGTGGAGAAGACATGTTCAAATCTACAGGAAGGGACTGTTGTGATCCGGCTGCAGTGATCTGCAAGTTATTGACGTCTGAGCTGCATAACTGGGACATGTTTCCCCACATCATAACATAACTGGGACATGTTTCCCCACATCATAACATAACTGGGACATACTTCCCCACCACATAATAACATAACTGGGATACTTCATAACATAACTGGGACAAAGCATAACATAACTGGGTTATAATTCCCCGCAACAGCATAACACAACTGGGTCCCACTTGTTTATAACTTATAGCCGCAACGGTGACAATAAATATCTTTTAACAAAGGGCACCGTGGCAGATAGATAAATCACATGTCAGTCATCTTGAGTGAATAATTACGGCTGCAACTTTTGGTAAACATGTCCTACACATGGAATCGTTAGTGGATGCTTTCAATGACCGTTTTCATGACTTCATTTTCGTTGGTAGTATCTCTATTTTCATTTGCTCCTGAAAATGCTGCTGATAATAATGTAATAACTTAAGGGAGACGACTCAACGAGGCACATATGTTTATTTACAGGAAATCACAAATACATTATAACAACTGCCTTAAACACAACATCTTTATCAGCTCTCTCACTTGGGCGGAACCCGTTCTTCTTTCTAATGTAAACATCCTTCCTAGTCTGGTTTCTAGAAGTGTTCACCTCTGCACTAGCCTGGATGGCGGTGCGCATGGCAAAGTTATAACATTGCCCCCTTCTTAGAGCTTTTCATCCCGAATTGGGAGGTCTTAGGCGAAGTGAATAGGGTAGCCCCAAATGAAATAGAAAAAAAAATTAAAACCGAAAAATACCGTACTGCATCTACATCTAAATCTGAAACAAGTTCAACTCATATCGGGCCAATAGAAAAAAAATTCTTCATGGATGATTCATGATCACCATGACTAGAAATACAGTTTCGACATTTCACCAAAAGGAAGAAACATTGTTCTTCTGACATAGGCAGTCTAACAAATAGATCTAAACATTCACAAATAAACACTGAACCCGAATAGAGACCCTGAGCTAGGCTTGTAGACATAGAGCCACGGAGTTATGCTTGAGATTTGATCCAGGTTTCGCAATTTTCTATCTCTAAAAAAAAATTATATTTTTCCTGTGCGAGGCCCCCGTCAATCGGAGGCCCTAGTCTGCCTATGCTTAGTTTGCATATGCCTATTCACATTGTGCGTTGTTGCTGCTGTTGTTTGGTTTTCAGCTCAGCCCATTCTTTTTATTGTTTTTTTCCTGTATGTTAACAAAAGCATTGACTGTCATAAATTTACATTTTGACACAGCTGCTAATTATTCAACTTTCTCAAATCTCAATCTTTTTTTTTTTCCTGTATTTTTTTAACGTAAGCATTTATTTTCATTCCTTTAAAAAAACAACAACAACAACATACACACACACACACATAGCCTTTCGATCTCGACATAACAATATATATAGAGCAAGCAAAAGAAAAATCATTTTCTCTTCTATAAAAAGTTAGGTACCCCTTTAAAGCCTTGTAATCTATGGGGCATAGGCCTATGTCATAAAAAAGTGAAAGATGTTTTGATTTGTTTGTGCTATTGCAATAAATGACGAAACCTATTAGAAGAGTTTTACAACAACGACCTAGAAGATAGAGATATGACTTAATGATTATGGAATGGTGCTATTTACTGATCAATGTTTAGAACCTGTAGGCCTTTTCTGTTGAACTTGGTTCAGAGTTCGTAAAGAAAGTTAACACCATTATATATAAACAAAGAACTCAGGCTTCGTTTAATATTGCTATGATTGTTGCAATTTAACTGAAAAGCAAAGCCTACAGATTCAAACGATATAAATAGACTTATTGAGCAATGCAGTTCTAGCAAAAATACCGGTACTAAAGGAGATTCAAACCTCGAAATTCTCTATCACGGAGATAGCATTCAAGGCGTATCAAAAGTTGACGAAATAGTAATTATTTTCCGATATTGTTTTGTAATCTCCGATGACGAAATAGGCAGAGCCAACTAGAGTGTTATATCCAAGTTTTCAAATTCAGAAGTCAACAGAATTGGCTGAACAAATACTCCAAGTACTGAAAAATCGTAATTTATTTTTAAATAACTTGCGAGGCCAATGAGTGGACATTATAATGGCCTTCAAGCATTGCTGCATCAAAAACAGCCGTATGCGCATTATGTTCACTGTGCTTAGCACATAAATTATTCCGTCGGCAGTGTTGCAGATTTCTATGACTTTGTACAAAATGTTTTTGGGCGCTTCTTAAATCCAATAGGAAGAGCATAATCGTTTAATCCTGTTAAGAAGCTGAGCAAACATCGATTTTTAAGACACTATTATTGTACTTATTTATCAAACGTAAAACTGTATTCATTACAAAAAAGGTACACTCTTTCATGGGAATGTCTTTTGTATACTTCCTTATACATACACACTACTTGATCTTGTTGTTACAAGCTAAACTTGTCTTTATTGTTGGTAGGGGGCCAACCACGATATTCTTGAACCCGGGCCCACGGATACCTTGCTACGCCACTGCCCAGGTCCTCAGTACAGTTCATAGATGGGACAAAGGACGTTCTCTCGAGTCAAGACATCCTAGACCTCCATAACTTTAGCTGGATCCACAACAGTCCTTCTTCCTGTCTTATATCAACATGTCTTCTCGTGTGTTCATTGGTGCTCTAATGCGCACCATCAGTGTGACGAGGGAGCAGAGTTACAACAGCTAGTATAAACAAACAGGCATGGACTTCAGCCGTCAAGTCCCAGAGCATCTTAAGTTCCACTAGTCCTATCTTAAGACCAGTACAGACACATTTCCCAGTCCCGCCCCAGGTCCTCAATACAGTTCACAAAGAGCACAAAGGACGGCTCTTGATCTCAAACAGACTCCAATAACTTGCAGATCATTTCAGCCGGATATACAACAGTCCTTCTTCCTAGTATCAATATGTCTTTTACTCTTGGGCGTAGCCGGGGGGGGGATGTCTTGGGGGTTTGATTTTGTTTTTTTTTAGGTGAAATTTTAATATTTAACCATCACTTGCCCCGTAGCCAAGGGGGGTTTTGAGCTTAAAATCACTTTCCAGGGGGTTCCAACTAGGAAACAGCTGCAGAGGGAATACATAAATAAAGTACTATCTGAAGATGCCAATAAAACTTTTGGTCATAGGCCTACATTAAATCTAAAAAAAAAATAAATGAAAACAATAGGATAATCCCATATAAAAAGCAAAGATAAATCAATTATTTCCCGCTGCACAAGTTAAGCCCCATAATATAAACCTGGAATCTTGCACTAAAGACTCTTCCAGAGAACTACAATGTTCCAAACACAGTTGCTTGTCTATAGGACAAGCAAAAAAAAACAACTAAACATGTTCTTTTTTCAACTGATTTGCTATTTTCGTTTAGGGTCTGTAGATATCATCTTTGGTCCTCTACTGTTATCCTAAAAAGACATTGGCCTGCTGCCTTATCTTCCTAGCGATGGAAAAAAAATTTGCCTGAGGCGACCTACTTAAATGGAAATACAATATGATCAACACCATTTGTTAAATGAAATACTTTATTTCATCCGTTTCATTAGTTTGTGCTGACAGGAGGTCAAGATGAATAAATTATATATGTCAGACTACTTTACTAGTCATTCACGCAGTCTCTAAGGTCATACTGTTAAAGTTAGATGGTTAGACACCTCACTATCAACACAGTCTCCAAATCAGTGATTTCATCAATACAATGATGTTCATGATGGACCAGTACATGTATGTCTCCACGAGGAGATGCTCATTGTTGGTTGAACAATGGATGAAGCTACAAACAATAGACAGAACTTCTCAGCAGGGAAATACAAATAGAAATTAAAATAGTTTCATATCATGAACATATTCTTCTTGACTTGACAAATACAGTCAACATCCTTCTCATTCAAGCCACTCACTGCTCCACACTACAGTGTTTACATAAATATTGTCCATTCTATTTCTGTTAGAATGTTAGGACACATTCGAAATAAATACATTAAAATGTTCATTGTTGGTTAGGAATAAATATCACATTCACAGCTCTCAGCCAATGGACTGCAGCCATTTGTCTAGTGGGATGGAGCTAAATGAAGAAGCATTGAACAAAAAAAAAAAAGGTCAAATAATTAGCCATGAAAAAAAAAAAAAGGTCAAATAATTAGCCATGAAAAAAAAAAAAAGGTCAAATAATTAGCCATGAAAAAAAAAAAAAGGTCAAATAATTAGCCATGAAAAAAAAAAAAGGTCAAATAATTAGCCATGAAAAAAAAAAAAAGGTCAAATAATCAGCAATGAAAAAAAAAAAAAGGTCAAATAATCAGCAATGATTTCAGCTCTGTCCAATGTTTGTTTCCTCCAATAGTCAGGAGAAGAAATCAACAGCATTGGATAGACATCAAGTAATCTCTTTTAGTCATCTGCTATAAACACAGAACTCTTTAACTCTTCAGAGAATACTCAGCAAGGAAAGAAATGGAACTTTTTTTTTTTTAGCACACACAAAATAATGTTTGAATTATGCACAATATGATTAGTTAAAATATATTCAAGTACTGGTAGAGTTAGACAGAAGCTAACTTACTAGAAATAGATCAAACCGCAATAGTGTAAATACATTCTCTCGACCTCTTCAGAATAAAAAAAATTCTCTTGTTTTAAAAGATTTCAGAGAAGCTGACACTATAATGTGCCTTTATCAGTCATCTCTTGATAGTCAGTGACAAATATTTCATTACACCAGAAGTCATCACTAGAGAATAATTCACTGCATTCTGAAATAATAGACAAATGTTTTCCTCAGCACTTATTCCCATTGGCATGTTAAAACTTGGTTCCCTATCAATGGAAATAGTTGGTAGTTGAAATGACAAGTACACTCTAGTACTGAAGAAAAGTTCTGAATCTATGTGGTCTGGTGATGGCTGGGAAATGGAATCTATGTGGTCTGGGGATGGCTGGGAAATGGAATCTATGTGGCCTGGTGATGGCTGGGAAATGGCATCTATGTGGCCTGGTGATGGCTGGGAAATGGAATCTATGTGGTCTGGTGATGGCTGGGAAATGGAATCTAAGTGACCTGGTGATGGCTGGGAAATAAAACCTATGGCTGGGAAATGGCATTTATGTGGCCTGGTGATGGCTGGGAAATGGAATCTATGTGGTCTGGTGATGGCTGGGAAATGGAATCTATCTATGTGGCCTGGTGATGGCTGGGAAATGGAACTTATGTGGTCTGGCAATGTCTGGGAAATGGAACCATATGTGGTCTGTTGATGTCTGGGAAATGGAACCAAGGAAACAACAAAATGGAAGCAAACTCAAAACATAATGAGGTAGACAAAATATACCACTCCATAGTATTCAGGTGTTATGCATGTACAAGACATCAGCTAGTAGTGCAGCGGTTTCCATCCTTTTAAGCTCGGCGACCCCCTTTTTACAATCCCCAACTCTGCCGCAACACCCCCCTTCCACACACACACAGCAATAGTAGAATAGACAAAATACAATCCATATTTTCGATGGTCTTAGGCGACCCCTGACAAATCGTCAATCAACCCCTCAAGGGGTCACAACCCACAGGTTGAGAACCCCATGTAGTAGTGAGATAGTGAGATACAGTTGAACTATTACACAATTAACAACTTTGTAAGCACAGAAAGTTGGAGCCCTAGCAAGATATGAATGTCAGCACAGAAAGTTGGAGCCCTAGCAAGATATGAATGTCAGCACAGAAAGTTGGAGCCCTAGCAAGATATGAATGTCAGCACAGAAAGTTGTAGCCCTAGCAAGATATGAATGTCAGCACAGAAAGTTGTAGCCCTAGCAAGATATGAATGTCAGCACAGAAAGTTGGAGCCTTAGCAAAATATGAATGTATTTACCTGGGTAGAAATTTACTACAGTTAGTTGGTAACATTGGATAAGAGGCTTGATCTTTTTCATTCCAACAATGTGTATTAAACTAGTTAAAGTTACTGCCCTTAGTTGATACATCCTAGTAGGTTAGTGAATAGCATAGCACACAGTTTATAGTGTAGCAAACTTGGATGGCAGAAATTGAATTTAATATCAAGATATATTTCTAGTAGTGGCAAGTGATATTATGTCCTTGGTATAAAAAAGGTTTTATTGTTTTAATAATTTATCAAAGCTTACAAGGGAGACAATTGAAAAAATGAGAAAAAAGAAAAGTAATCCACAAATATAAAAAAAAATATATACATAACAACCAAATGACAAGGAAATAAAAAGAAATAATGATAATATGTAAGAAGCTGGACAGCAGTAGGTAGTATACAAGTCTCACAGTAAATACTTGCATTGATGTTCAATAAATAACAAAGTAGTTAGGACTAGATTATATTCACTTAATCATTTTCCCAACCAGAATTTAATGACCATTGATGTGATTGTCCCAACAGGAGTCTAAGATACAACATCTCGCGGTATGGCTGCTGACTTCATAAAACCAAACATTTATACAAGAAATAGATATTGATATCTTAGTTTCCTAACAAATGGAAAAAACATATGCCTGTGAGAAATCTAATAATGTCATTAGTTATAACTATACTGTCATGTAAGTTTCAAATGCATGTCCTAGCCCTGGCCAGGGTTTGAAAACTGGTAGGGTTAGGATCATTACAACAGACAGAAGCTAATTCCACACAGCCAAACATCTCAACCAAAGAAGATTAATAACAATGAATCCTATGCCTAGATGTTCTACTATTTTGATGTGGACTTTCAAACAAAAATGTAGCTTTAAGTAAAGGAACAAGAGATAATTCACACAAAATTAGTGAAACACATTTTTCAATGATTTCAAGTGAATAAATAAATACTAGATGAAATCACAGCCTGGTGTTTGTTATCTTCCCCTGACAGCCAAGGGTTGTCACTCTATACAATATAATGTCATGCTTGACTATGAACACACACTGACATAATGAGCCTAGTCTAGAACTACCATAGTCTATGGTTTATACATCTCAAGCCCTGTTTAGAATTAAATGCATGAAATGCCATCAATACAAGTGTGGATAAAATCTATATCGATTTTCAGTTCATGAACAACTACAACCATAATTGTTGGACTCAATTGTACCTAAAATGTTTCCTCCCACTAGGATAGTCTACAAGGAATGCAGGATGGACATTATATAAAAAAAAAAAACAGAGCCAAAATAGTAGGAGCTTTAGGTCTGGTATCACAAAGGAAGGGAAACAGAAACATGATGTATGGACATTATGAAACAGTAAATATATGTACATTATACAGAGAGACTGCACTTATCTAGGTAGATGTCACACTCGCCAAGAATAAAGTTAAACAACTAGACAACAGATAATTGTGGGCATAGATGACCTTTTTTATTATTTAACAAGACTGTGGAAAAATAATGAAAAGGGGGGGGGGGGAATCAGCACTCAATTTGAATCCCCCCAACCAACTCCTTATTCCAAACAAGAGGTCATTATGAAACACGGTGCCATCACAACAGGGAGGGAGTGGCTCCACATCTCCTCACCTTTGGACATTTACCCTGCAATCTGGTGTTTTATTATTAAGGTAGGAGATGGAACCAGCCTGCAGTCACAGAGGTTAAGTTTAAAATACTATTTACATGGATAATTTATGGGTCAGTGTCAATTCACTCACAGCATAGAAGGCTTGAAAGAGTTATGGAGAAATGGGGAGATCTAGAAACACAGGCAAGTCATCTGAATGCAAAGATCCACCTAGTTTGGAAAATGTTGGTCTTCCTTAGATGACCACTGGCCTTCTTTCAGATGAAAGGCAAATTAAAATGTATTACTAGCTGTACTAGTACATAAAGCAGTCCTACAGCAAATTAGATACTTTTTTAACAGCATCTCACATAAATACACATGATTCTTGGCTGGGCATTCAAACTGATTGACCCCAAACTGTCAAAAATGTCAGCAAATGTTGTCAGCCAATGTTGTCAGCCAATGTTGTCAGTCAATGATGTCAGCCAATGATGTCAGTCAATGGTGTCAGTCAATAATGTCAGCCAGTGTCAGTCAATGATGTCCTTTACAAACGTCATACATAGAGGAATTTATTTACTTTTTAAAATTTGCATTCATTCTTATCACAAATTTGTTGTTCCAAGCAGACTCAAATATATACATACATGTAGGTATACAAGTTAATTTTGAATCCTGTACACTATAGACAACATTTTCTATGCAATGTATTTTCCATATATATATATATATATATATATATATATATATATATAATTTCATCTAATATATTTACATCAGTATGATTCTATTTTTATATCACAATGAAACATAGATCAAAACTATACACATATTGAAGATTTAGATACTTCTTAAACAATATAATTATATAATTTAGAAAAATATATATAAATATATATAAATTTAAACTAATATTGTAAAATATATTATTCTATCATATTATACTTGGAAACAATTATGTTTACATTTAACTAGTGAGCAAAATGAAATAAAGTATAGATTATACTAAGATGCTACAGAGTTACAAACATCTCTAGATTGGAATACCTAACAAATATCAACCATCAAAAATCCAAAGTCTGTTCACATTTCTATTGAGAGATGAGCCAAAAGATATTTTTGTGTGTTGAATATCCATTGGGATATAACTCACTTTTTAAACAAAGAACAACAATTATTTTTGAGTAAAAAAAAAAACCCCTCAACATTCTCAGAGTGTAAAACAAATGGTGTAGGTAATTAAAAACATCCAAGTCTGGACACTTTGTGCTTTCTTCACTGTTGTTTTTTTCTCTCACCTCCCCCCTTCCCATTTCATTTCCCAGTTAGTTTAAATTTGTTGTGTTTGTTAAGCTCATAGGTGCCGCCCCGAAGTAAAAAAAAAACATCAGATGCAACAATGAAAACGACAATTGAATTGACACCAAATCTAAAAACTCAGTTCACACTAAGAGAATATCATTCTGTGGTTAATACAGCATCTCTACAGTGTCAGTAAATACAATGTTTGAGCAGTTAGAACAATGAGTTCCACTATCATAACAACTAGATAACAAAGATTGTTGACTTTGTGTGAGTCAGATAACAAAGATTGTTGAATACTACATGTCAGTCAGTTCTGAGTGATGAATAAATACAACTTGAGATCACTAATAAATGTTAGTCATTTATATTA